CTACCAGCCACTACTAAACATTCAAAATGCGTTTAATCTAAACCAAGATGTGCTACAAGCAGAGAATATACAGATTTCAAAGACTTAGTCTGGGGGAAAAGTGTAAAATATCTGATTGGTTATATACTGAACTGACAATATTTTCTTTTTTCAAAGTTTATTTATGTTGAGAGCGAGAGAGGGGGGAGGGGCAGAGAGAGAGGGAGAGAGACGGAGAATCTTAAGCAGGCTCTGCACCATCAGCACAGACCCCGATGCGGGGCTCAAACTCACTAACCATGAGATCATGACCTGAGCTGAAGTCAGACGCTTAACCCACTGAGCCACCCAGGTGCCCCTTCAAAGACAATATTTTCTAATGTAGTAAGTTAAATAAAATACATTACTAAAATGTATTTCATCTTTTTATTTCATTAACTGGCTACTAGGAAAATTTTAAATTACCTATATTGGTTGCATTATGTTTCTATTGGATAGTGCTGTTCTAGACTATAAGCTCCCTGAGGCACCTCATCTGCCTCAGTCAGAGCTGTATGCCCAGCTTACAGCGAGGCTCAGCAAATGGTGATTGGTCATAGATACCTGAGGTGTGAATTAATAGAACTTACTGTCTTATGTATGTGATCCTCCTGAGGGTGGAAACTTTATTAGTCTCTGTGTCCCTATTCTCAGCACAGTAACCTGACAAGTATTTTTTGAATGGACAAGTGAAACTTGATTCGTCTAAGTCCTGTTCTCCCAGCTTGATTCTGCTATGTAACTCCCACCAGCCGCTTCACCAGGGCTCTGTTACCAAGCACCTATTTTCTGTTAGGATCATGGCTCTTCTTGACCCTAATCCTGGTTCTCAGGCCACTTTGGTAATACTCTCTGAAGGTTTCCTTAAGGTCGTAAGACCTAGGATGACTCTGCTTCAGACACAACAGAAGAGAAGGAGCCAGTTGGTATTTTGGTGTTGGCTGAAATATGCCTATTGTCTCTCTCCATGTTGGGTTCACAAGTTCAAGCCTGAAGATTGTTGAATTAGATGGGGAATATTTTTGGAAGGCTGGAAAACAGGCAATGTGAAGCAGATGGACAGAATAGTAAAGTACCCTAATTTCCAGTTTTCCAGTACAAACAAGCATCTGACAACCTCATATGTGCATGCTATTTATGAAATCAGCCTGTGACATTTTTCACTACTTCCTAGACCAGGAAATGCAAAATGAGCTGAGCCACTCACTAGAAGTAAGACAGATCCCTTTGTTTCTCTGAGCCTTGGCTTCCTCCTTCATAAAATGGCAGATAATTAAATCTACCTCACTGGGCGGTTGGGAAGATTAAATGAGATAATTATATAGATGGGCTTACTTAGTACAGTGCGTGGCATTTAATCAAACTTCAATCAGTGGTGGTGGTGATTAACACCAGCCCTACCGGGATATCGGCAAATTAGCAAAGCAGAATGTATTTGTGGTGTCACACTGACAGAGGAGTCTGTCATAATGACACATTTGTTCTTCATGCCATCAACATGCTAGACGTGCTCATCAAATAAAAATAGCTGATATTTATTGAGCACACACTATGAGGCAGGTCCTGTGTTATGCATTTAACATGCGTCATCTTAATTAACCCTTACTATTGGGGGTAGGTGCGGAGGGTCAAATTACAGAGCCAGACACTGAGGCTCAAGGAGGCCAAATGACAGGCTCCAGGCCCCACCGCAGTTGAGGGATATCATGAGAATTCAACAGGCCCTAAATGATTTCACCAGGCTGCTTCCTAATGCGGGTGGAGTGAGGTATCCTGGGGACATAGTGGTTGTAGTCACGGGGACAGAGAGGTCTCCGTGAGCTCTTCCTGGTGCACACTGTCGAGACCACGCTTGGCCTCATTCCGCACCATCGAATGCTGATTGAGCGCCTTGCAAGGTGTCAGTCACTGCACTGGTAAGTAACACCCTGCAGGCTGTGAGGCACAGAGTTGTCCTGCTCGCCTCTAGCAATGACACAGTGGTGGTGAACGTTAGGTCTCTAGGAAGAAGAAAATATGGAGACAGGCGTTCTGGTCACTCGGCCATGCCTTACAAAAACTTAGGGACAACTGAACCCCAGGCCTTCTGGAACAGTGATGTGGTTTGGAAGCTGGAATATCGTTCTTCCCGTTCCAGAAACGGTTTCCCCACCTATAACGGGAGCTCAGTGCCCTGCGCCTTTGGACTCTGGTTAAAGGGACTCAATTCCTATCTCTTCTTGTTTCCGCAACCCATTACTCTGGCTCTTAACATACTCGTCACATTTCCCAAGAGGAAAACCTGTTCTTAGGACCAGACCAAGGTCACGGGTTAGCGCTGCCTTTTGGGTGGTTCTTTAATCCACTGAGCTGTGGGTGGGAGGGCGACGGGGCTACAGTAAGCAGGTGCAGAGCCTGCCCCCAAGACTGGCACAGCCCGCGTGGGAGCCACTCATAATCAGGTGCAGCACTGCAGTGGCCTCATTGACCGCCGGGCCCCCCACTTCCCTGGGCCTGCCACCCCAGAGGAAAGCTGCCTGCCACCCCATCCACGCTGGGAGGCAGCACGGGCTGCCGTGAACACCCTAAGGGGAGAGGCCCTCCCTGGATTCAAATGACACCTCCCAGGTGAGGCCTTCCCTGTCCACTCAGTTTCAAATGCTGCTCTTCCTCTTGCCCCAGCCTTCCTGGCATGTTTCCCTGCTTTATTATTCTTCCACTTAGCCCTTCTGCAGCATACTACACACTTCAGTACTTTATGGTCTGTCCCAGTCCCCTGAAATGAAAGAACCATGAAGGCAGGGGTTTGCTCTTCTACCTTCTATTGCAGCCCAGTTCCTAGAATCGTGCCTCACACAATGGACATTCTGTATGAATGAAAGGTGGGCGGGGCAGACAGTCTGTTCTGGCTGGAGGTTTAGCCAAGGAAGGCTTCCAGAAGGAAGTGACACACGCTGAGTCAGGCCAGCATCTGAAATGGGAGGTGCATTCCAAGCAGGCAGGCCAGGCAAAGGAGAGCACGTTCTGGAACCTTCAGTACTCGCATGGCTGGGGCCTGCAGTGCTCATGCAGAGCCGTATGTGACAGGAGCGGGGACAGGTAGACCATGGGCAGTGAGGAGGGTCCCACACGTGCCCTGGAGAATGGGCAGTCTGTATAAGGGTCAGGTGGGGCAAGGGTTGCAGAGGGCGGGGGAGGGCAGACGGAAGAAGCTGGGTCAGGGGTGAGGGTTGTTTACAGTGTGAAAGGGAACAAGTTACTTTTCAAGAAGGGCTGTGCTCTGAGCGCATCCTGTGTGCAGGGTGCTGCAGTGCGTGCTTCTAGGGTGTGATCCCTGGCGTGCTCCCTCCCTGACCCCCCTCCCCTCCTGGTACTAGGGTGCCGCGGAAACAGGACAAGGGATGAGAGAAACCTCCACAGCCTGACCAGTTGGGCTTACTGGGAAGGAAATGTTGGTGATCGAGGCCAAGCCACGGGCAGTGATCACACCCCTATAGCCCCAAGACTCCCTCGCCTTGACCATTTCACCAACCAAGGTGATGTCACCTCTTCCCTTCTTCCCGAGCACTTGGTCACTGCCCTCTCCTACAGAGCAGGCATCTCCCCCAGGGCACAGGACTGATGTGGGGCGGGGGGCACAGGACTGACGGGTGGGGGGGAGGGTTGTAAGAAGTCAAGAAAACCGCCAAAGGGAATGCAGTGCAGACCGTGCTACTGAAAGTGGACACAGCACTACTGAATCCAATGGGTCGGTCAGTGTTATAGAAAGACGTCTACAAATGTCAAGGCCACAACCAACAGTTAAACTTCACTGAAAAGGAAGGAACTTCGGCCAAGCTGGGGAAAAATGCATTCATTTTTCAGTAGAGGGTTAGGGGTACAGTTGGGTGACATTGGCCCAGAAGGAAGTGGGGTAGGAAGGGGATGTTCAAGAGAGATAATGGGTAGGAATTAAGGAGCGGGGTGAGGCAGAAATGAGGACCTCTGCCAGAACTGGCGGGCAGAGTAGACCCTTTAGCTCCCAAGAATGCCTTCTGCTGACTGAGGCCAACAAGGAGTTGAACTCATAAAGGTTAGGCCTGACTACCTGGATTTGACCTCAGCCCCAATCAAAATGATTTCAATTTCCACGGAAGGAATGGACAATCAATTCTTCCTTTTCTTTGGGAGAGTTCCTCTGTGTGAACCTACCCACAGGTGGTGAGACGCATGCTTAGCACACTGCTGCCATTACTGTCACTGAAAAAGACTTAGGCCAAACTTACTTTGTGGTAATAGTAACAGAAATCCTGACACTGGCCCTTGCCGACCCCAGTCCGAGTTCTCCAAGGGACGGGCGTTCTGCATCCACGCCATGCCCACCCCTGCAGAATGATCTCCTGAAACCCCACTGAGGAGCCCTCATCCCCAGAGCTCAGGGCACCCCTGCCTTCTCTGTCTCTACGTCCACCCCACAGTCATCCTTTTTTCCTCAGCTCTGGCCCAGACGTCCTTCCGCCAATGACTCTAACATTTCCCTTTTCTCCCAAAACTGAGCCCCCCAGAGAAACTTGGGATTGTTCAACTTCTGCTTCAATTTCTACATCCCAATTCCTAACCCCTAGGTTAAGCCTTAGGAGTGCACTAAAAGGAATATTTCAGTGAGTAAAAACTGAAAGATCTGCTTGTGACCCACTTTATACCTACCTTGCTGGCACATAGAGGTATGAAATTTTTGTAAACTTTTTACTGCTTATTTTTAAGAGAGAGAGAGAAAACGAGACAGAAAGAGGGGGGGAGGGGGAGGGAGAGAGAGAGAGAGAGAGAGAGAGAGAGAGAACAAGTGGGGAAGGGGCAGAGACAGAGGGAGACATAGAATCCAAAACAGGCTCCAGGTTCTTGAGCCACAATCTCAAGAACCACGAGATCATGACCTGAGCCGAAGTCGGATGCTTAACTGACTGAGCCACCCAGGTGCCTCTGGGGGTATGGATTTTAAAAGAGAAGCAAAACAAAACAGGAAGGAGGGCAGTTTCAGGATTTATTGAGTGGGTGAGGGGACAAGGCCCCAGAGTGCGGAAAACTCTTGGTTGTAAAAAGCTACAGGTGCCGTGGGCAGCAGGACGTGCAGTGGGCTGGACCCCCAGCTCAGGCGGAAGGAGCCAGCCTTCCTGGTGCACGGCGCTGTGTGACACCTGCTAGGGGAGCAGCAGAGCCAGCTGACGTCTCTAGCTCTGGACCTCGATCTCCAGGGTCCCAGGACTCTTCCTCTGGACTGCTCACGCAGAGAGAAAAGTCCCTCCGTGTGGTGCTGAGGCAACAGGGTATAAGAAGGTCTGGCAACAGTTCACATGGCAACATCATTCTTCACTCAGCCGGCGTCCGTGATCAGCTACGAAATAATCTAAGGGAGAAAGTCCAATGAGGCCAGCAGCTTGGAATTCCCGTATCAGAAACACAGGCCGGCTCAGCCCCTTGGCATTAACTCACCATGAGGAGGTCCCTCCGAGGCAGCTGGGACCCAGGTCATCCTGAGAGGACCAGTGTCTCCGTCCCCGTAAGGATTCCTCCAACAAGCTCTGGATCCCAGGCAGCATCTCTAGGGGGAGGAGGATGCCACAGAGCAGATGGTCCCAACAAGTGTCTGGTTTCCAATGTCAGCTCTCATCCTTCTTCCGGCTGATGTCGGTGAGAACGCCATTAATCAGGGATGAGCTGACAGGTTTTTTTTTCCCCCCACACCAAACACAGCTCAAAAATGAATCTCCGTGCTCCCAGAGAAGGGTCAAAATAAAACCACCTCTTAACAAATGGGCCTTGCAGGGCAGGAGCAGATACAGTAATTGGTAGAGAGGTGGCTGGCGAGCTCAAGCTCAGAGGCTCCTCCCACTGAGCCCCCCAACCCCCCGCGCTGGGAGCGAAGAGCACCACCTCAGCCTCCCCCCACCACCATTACATCCCTGCCCCCCCGTCTCCCAGGTGCCTGTGCTCATCCCCGCGTCAAACTCCTTCTCGTGTCGCTCTCCCTGCCACCCAGTACCCATCTACCCCCATCCCATTCTGCCCCTTCGAAGGCTTGCCGAGGGCCACCATATCCAGAAAGAGGCTCCCCTTTGAGACTCTTATGGCAATCGGTATAAACCACCTAGTGTCGCAGAACACCATCCTGGCTCCTTAAACCCTGGAAAGTTTCTAAACGTTGACACAGATGTAGCCCGGTTTCCCGTAACAGGAGGCCAAGCTGAGAAAGGCCAAGCTCAAGTCTCCTGTCATTGACTGTCACACAGCAGCCCCCAGTGCTAGTGCCTGAGACCAGAGGGCACTAGCTGGGGAGAAGCAGGAGTGTGTGAAAGCGCCAGCATTTGAAAGGGATGGGCGTGGACCCTCCAAACACGGGAAACTGCTTTCAACAATTCCTCTCCCTGCATTGTCAATGACCAGAGCACAGACAGCCCGTGATCGCTTCTGAATGCAGGTGCATGCAACGGGGGAGAGAGAGAGAAACCTAGGCAGGGGAGCAGGTGCTACTGGCCTGTGGGATAGGCTGAGTCTGGGAAAACCACACAAGCACAGGACCCCACGAGTGGCCATTCTTTCTCGCAAAAGCCCCATAGAACCTGCCTGCCAAGTGGAATCAAATAAAAGTCACTTTGGACAAAAACACTGTGAAAATATTAGGGTGGGAGAGGACAGGGATCCTGTGGGCTTCAGTAGCACAGAGATCATTACTATCCTTTGTTTTTTTAATGGAGAAAATAGGTTCTGGGTAGGTCACTGACTTACAGAGTGGCAGAAGGGGATTCTTCCCCTTTTCCCGTCACTCTGATGCGTGGGTCCACATTGAAAACATGCCTCTGCCGTTACCCCAGGGAGGGAAGGCAGACACCCCAGAGGCTCTCATCACCCAGTGAGACTTCGGAGGCCCTTCCTCTGCAGAAGACACGTCAGGGACCAGATGTGATCTAGGCTGCCTGGGGCTAAGGTGGGGAATAGCCCTGGGGACTCGTGGACGTTACCTTCTCACCTCTCAGCTCCCCTAAACCTGCATGTGAAGCCCCTAGGAACCCCCACGTGACTGTACCAGATGCAAGGAGCCAACACTCCAGAGAACAGACAAGAGATCTTACCTCGAGGACACTGGGGTCTAGAATGTTCCTGATGCAGCTCCCATGATGCCTCTGCACATGGTGGGCTCACCTGCAATAGGCAAGAACCCAAGAATGGGCACCCACCGTGTCCTGGCTCACAGCGGGGCAGGGCAGGCATCAGGGAAAGGCTCGGCACAGTAGTGAGCAGATAGTAAAGTAAGCATTTGACAAATGTCAGCTGTTATTACTCTCTAAACAGACACTCTATTTGCTTATAAAAAAGCCAGTAGTTAACCCTAGAGAGACAGACAGTGATTGGTCTATGACAGGGTGGCCAGTGCGGATTCATGCATAATTAACCAGTGATAGGCTGAAAGGACGCCAGGGCCGGATTTACGGGAGAGCCTCGGCTGCCCGGCAGCAACTATGCTGGGCATAGGACTTCTCTGCAGAGAAGAAGGTATGTGGAAGAACTCCCGGAAGGCATGGAGATGGACCCTTCAAACACAGGACAAGTCTTTGCCTGAATCCTCTGCCTGCATTACCAATGAACCCGACATTGGCCCCAAGTGACAGGAGACCTCTAAAACCGGGTAGGCAAGAGGAAGGTGCAGGAAAGGCCCAGGTTTGGAAGGGACAGGAGTGGACGTTCCCAACCTGGGGAAACACTTCCAGCAATTCCCTTCCCTGCACTATCAATGACCTGGACACAGGCGGCCCATGTTAGCAGCCTACCTTCCAGGCAGGGGAGAGCTGCCCAGCCATGCCCAGGGCCCCGGGCATCGTCACCAGTTAACATAGAGATGCCACCTTCCGTCGTCCAGACGGTGCACACCAAGACCGACTCCCGGCAAAAACGCCTACACTGTTTATTCCCCCCACAAACACAAATCGAGTACCTACTATGTGCTGTCAACTATGGGCGCCAAACCAAAGAACACAGAGAAGATTTCTGTCCCCCCCAGAGCTCTGGCACTTTCCCCACTTGAAATACAGTAAAGCTCGGAATGACGTCACTTGGGCAGGGTGATGCGGTGACGACCGGCTGAGGCAGATCACGAACCCAGACCGCTCCGGGCCCCAAACCTACCCCCATTCACACCAGTCCTCCTTCTGCACAGGGGCGTTCTCGGCACCGCAGGAGCTCCAGGACACCCCCCCCCCACCCCCCGCCCTGATATGGCAGAAAGGCGACGAGCCCCCTGCTGGCGTGCTCCTGAGCACCAGCACTTACCCAGGCCTCGCCCCCTGGGCACAGCGGGGGCACATCAGGCGCCACCGATCGGGGTCCTGCAGGAACGGGCGTGCTGCCTGACGCACAGTCCCCAAAGCCGTCCAACGGAGAGTCCCCATCTGCTTCCAAGAGAGCCCCAGAGCCTGCAACGCCTAGGCAGAGAACAGCACGGGGGAAGGGGCTTCAGTGCAAAGCAAGGACACAGGAATCAGCCTCCGCCGCTCTGGGGCCCCGCGAGCGCCCCCGATTGAAAGCTCAGACAACCGCCCCGCACAACGGGGGTTGTAACACTTTACCTTAAGGCTGTGGACAAGAAAATGGGTTAACGCTCACAAAGTCACTTCGTAGGCAACCAATGAAGGGGTCTGGGGCATTCGAGGCCGGGAGCCGGAGGTGGGTGTGTGCGTGAAAATCACACGGCCCCGCACCACTCGCTGCAGCACTCGGCCAGAGCGCGCGTCGCCGGACCCGCTTCTGGTAGGTGGCGGGACACTAGCTATCCCCGCGCGCGGGGGATCAGACCCGGAGCCCCATTCTCGGGGACACGCATCCCGAGTGGTCGTCATCTGGGGGAGGGGCCGGGCCCGCACCCAGGAGCGGGGCCTGGAATCGCGGCGGACCTCAGTCTCCCCGACCCCTCGGGACTCACTTTCTCCTCCTGTCGGGGGGGAGGGGGATGCCGCACCGGCCTTGGGAAGCCGCCGGGGGTTTCTGCGCATCGCAGCCCCGCAGCGACTCACCCGGGGAGCCCAGGCTGTGGCCGGCAGGGTCAAAGGGCCGGCGCGAGAGGGCGCGGCACGCCTCCGGACGCTTCAGGACTACTAGGGACAGCAGTCACTGCCGCAGGAAACCCCGGCACCCGCCCCGCGCCGGCGGAAATGCAGCTCGAGCGCGGGCTGCGCCCCAGAGGGGCGTCTCCCGGGCTGAACGCGCGCGCGCGGTCTCTTATCGCCCCCTGGTGGATAGGAGGTGAATCTGACCCGCCAAGTAGCCAACCCTTCCTCTCCTCATCACCGCATCCACCCATCCATTTATCCCTAAAAGAAAACACTTAGGGAGCACCAGTTTCTCATCCATCCATCTAGCTACGCATTCATCCATTCATCCATCTATATGTTCATCTAGACTCCCATCCATACAGAAAAAATATACTGAGCAGCTACTTCATATTAGGGACTGGGCTAAGCATTGGAAATACATTGCAGAAGACAGACTGTTCTGATATATTTTGTTGTTATATTCTTGTGGGGATAATGAGTCAGCGAACACAGTAATTTAAATAATGACAAGTGCTACAAAGTAAATGGGTAGGGTGGTATAATTGTGGGGACCTACTTAGCCAGGGTAGACAGCAAGGGCCTGCCTGAGGAAATGATGTAAGGGTGTTTTTCATAGCATGCTATCTGTCACTGCAACACCCCATCCCATGAACACTACAGATGACGGCTATAACCATAATATCAATTAATACTAAGTTTTGAGCACACACAATATTCCAGGCATTTTGATTCTTTTAATCATCATACCAATCATATAAGGTGTAAACCCTATTACTATTAATTTTGCTGATGAGGAAACAAAAGCTCAGAAAATTTTATTAATGTATCCAAGATCACGCAGTTAATGTGTTAAGAAGTGTGTACGATCTGAGAATGAACTCTACTTGTGAGCTACCCAGTTAGCCTGTTATTTCGCAGATGCTGGCAGAGGACAGAAAATTCCTGAGGCAGAGTCTAAGGACCTTATTACTGTGGCAAAGCAGAGAGAGCTTTAAGTTGATTGGTGTTGGGTCCCACGCCTCAGGGGTCCGTGGAGTGGTGCGGGGCCGACGATGACTGCCTGCACAATGTGTTACACTGTTACAAAAGGGGAACACTGAGCTGGGGGGGATTTACCACTTGCAGCAAACAGAAGTAAGCCTGCTTTTAGTGTCGGAGGAGACTTTATCTCCTCCTTCAAGGTTGCTCACTGCAAATCGCAGCTCTAAGAAAGGGCCACGGGGAAAGAGGAGTCAAGGCCTTGCATTGTTAGGATGCAAGAACATGCTTGGAGGGGCAGCTGGGTGCCTGGGTAGCTCAGTCGGTTAAGCATCCAACTTGGGCTCAGGTCATGATCTCATGGTTCATGAGTTCGAGCCCCGTGTCAGGCTCTGAGATGTCAGCAGGAGCCTCCTTCGGATTCTCTGTCTCCCTCTGTCTGCCCCTTCCCTGCTTGCTCTCTCTCTCAAAAATAAATAAATATTTTTTAAAAATACGTGTTGAGATGGTTTAATAAATTTTAGGATCATCATCGTGATGATCACCATCACTTGATAAAAATTAATATCCGTTTATAACTTTAAACATTTCTTAAAATTCTAGAAATAGACTATATATCATACGCCATTTGCCAATATCATACATAATGGTGAAATCACAGAAGCATTCTTTTGTTTTTATCTTGGAAGTCCCAGAGAAATAGCCCAGAGGGTGGTGGGGAGGAGAGAACTCCTATGCTCTTGGGCAGGAAAATCCAAGATTTTAAGAGTGAAGAATTGATGTGGTCAGCTACCATGGTGAAAGATAATGAGGCAAAGTCAGATATTATCCTGGAATGCCCAAGTATTCAAGCAAGAAAGTTAACAAGCCAGGAATGTGTAAGTAATGACCCACAAATATCTCAGTGATTCAGTTAGCAAGGAAGGCCCAAAGTTGTTGTTCAGGGAGGCGCAAGTTAATTTCTATGAACATCTGGCTTTATTAGTCAAGAAGGTTGTTTTCAAGGATTGTCCACCGTGGATAGAAGGAAAGTCTAAAGTCATCGCTGAGTTTATCAGGCTTTAGCTTGGACTCCAGTTCTCCAGGGCCCAGCCTTGCCAATTTCTGGAGGGAGAGGGCCACGTCTTCTCATGCTTGTCCCCATGGCAGAGGCCCGAGCCAATCATAACTTCACTGAGCGCACACTGAGTCCCTCTGAAGAATCAGCGGTCCTCAGCCCAGGACAAAAAATGAACCAGAAACAAAACCAGTAAGAGAGAGGCTGTGAGGGAGCCAGCTAGCCGACTTAGACAGGAGAGGCTGAGATGTAGGCGGAGGCTGACCATGGTGAGAAGCATCCAGTGAGGGCCTGGGGCTGCTGGAGATCCCCAAACAGGCCAAGACTCAGGCCATGAGCGGCCTAAGGAGAGGCTGTCCTGTTGAGAGGCCCTGAGGGGCTAGACTGGCCAAGGCTTCCATCAGCCCTCAGTCCCACCCCGCAGGACCCAGAGTCTACTTCTCCCGAAAGACACAGTAACAGAGGAGCAGTAAGAAGCAAAGGAGGGCAATGGCCAGGTACAGCAAGGTTTCCAGCATGGCGGTCATTCTTAATAAGGGGACGGGGCCTGGAGCCCCTGCAGCAGGTCTCACAGGGCTGGTGCTTGGCTCCCAACCTGGACCCTAGACACCACCTCCTTGGAACAATCTGTCCAACAACCTGCAGCTCCATCTCCCTGAGGGAAGGGGCTCTAGACCACAGGGATCAGCCACTGTGAGGTCACAAGATGGTGGAATGTTGGCCTCCCAGCCACAGCCCAAATCTTTATTAATGTGACCAGTGTGTTGAAAGCAGAACTCCTGGTATGTAATCATACAATTTTTTTTTTTTTGCCTTAGACTTCCTAAATGGAAGTATCTTTTCCCTGTCCCTAGAAAACTATCAGGCAGGCCTCATAGCTTTTCTGATCAATCTTAGGTAGTAAGTCTTACAATCACAAAAATAGAGAACATAGTTTTTGTTCAATTATCTTAAATGCCCAGTCTAACATACTAGCCACATTTTCAATGATTACTTACAGGTAAGACTTCTCTCACCAGCTGGAGCCAAGCATAGGGTTGGGCTGGTATTTGTTGGGAGGAGACAGGAAATTTCTCCCTTATCCAGATGTGTTTCTCTTCACAAGGAGGACTCCGCCCACTTCCCTACTCCCTATATCTCCAGGATCAGAACAGATGGAATAAAGATTAAGGTGGGGGGAGACTTCTCTCCAGGTTGGACACATATTTAGTGTAAGTCTTTCTCTCTTGGCCTCTATTTCAGGGGTTCTTTGGAGAACCCACCTCTGTACCCTTTGTTCTCCTAGGGATATGAACAAGTTCTCTCCTTGGGGTCCCCCCACCCTAGTAGGGTCCCTTCTTGGGCAGGACCTCTTGGGTAGCAGATGGACATTCCTACTGATTCTGGAGACTGGGAAAGTTCTCGGGCCCTGAGCCCTCAACCACCAGCCGGTGCCAGGTCCTTGACTTCATAGCAAGCAAGAATTCAAGCTGAGGACTGATGGGTGTGGGGGGCGGGGAGGGGGGAGATGGGCATGGAGGAGAGCACTTGTGGGGATGAGCACTGGGTGTTATATGAAAACCAACTTGACAATAAACTATTTGTGGAAAAAAAAAACCTGAAGAAAAAAGAATTCAAGGCGGAACCAGAGTAAAATATAAATGAGAAGCTTTATTGCAAAGCAAAAGTACACACTCGAAATCGGGGCTGTGGGGGGGGCCTGGGTGGCTTAGTCGGTTGAGCGTCCGACTTTCGCTTAGGTCATGATCTCGCGGTTCGTGGGTTCGAGCCCCGCGTCGGGCCCTGTGCTGACTGCCAGCTCAGAGTCTGGAGCCTGTTTCAGTCTGTGACTCTCTCTCTCTCTGACCCTCCCCTGCTCACGCTGTCTCTCTCTCTCCTAGAAATAAATAAAACATTTAAAAAAAAAAAAAAAGAAATCGGGGGTGTGAAGGCATACTCAGTGAATTTGAGTAGCGCTGCGTAGATGTGAGATTTTGATTCTTAACAGGCAGTTATAATCAACAGGCGGAATATTCCTGTAGGGTTCTGGAAATAGCCCGACGACCTCTGTATATCATTACGCATGCGCCATCCTAGTCACTGTGCGCGGGCAGTCTGTCTTGGGAACCTTCCTATGCGGTCAAGATCTACGAGGAGTCCTCTAGCGCCCCCAGTGGACGGGTCGTTCTCTGTCAATTGCAGGCGAAGTGGGGATTTATGCGCATGCGTGCTGCAGTTGCGCAGCTTTGTGGGATCTCTGCTGCTAATCCTGGCCACGGGCATCCGTTACTAAACAGGTGTCAGGTCAGTTCCCTGCTTCCAAACGTTTCTGCTGGAACTCCTGGTACTCAGGTACTCCTCTTATTCTCCCTCTTGGGGGCAGAGGATAGGACTATCTTAAGAAATAGAATTCATAATTCTCCCACTTTTTAGTGTCTATGTATACTGTTAATACCCTCAACTTGGAAGAGAGAATTCGGAGTCACAAGCAACCAAGTTCTGCATCTGGCCCAATACTTTCTTTGGAAGGCAGCTGCCATTTTATCAAGATGGAATCTTCAAAAATTGCCACTATTGGGCCACAATTTGCTTACCATCACAGCAGTTCCTTGTTGGTCAACAGTTCATTCCTATGTCGTGGTGCCACCTTGGTGTCTTGCTGAAATGGCTACTTTAACACCATGTTACACTAATGAGCCACACCTCTTAGAATCCCAGCCTCTTCCAGGCAGCAGGGATGCACAAATAAACTGCCCCAGGTCCCCTCCCTGGCATCATGGGAGCAAGGGGTGTAGGAGAGTCATCTAGGATTGAATCATTGCTCTGCTCAGGTACAATCTTCTTAGGGCACCCCTGCCTTAATCTCCACCTCAGGACAGTAAGGCCCCCAATGGGAGCCATGCAGGAGTCCCTGCCCCGCCTAGAATGTCCCAGACTCATGGGGGGTGCTGAGGACTGTAGAAGGGAAATGCTCTTCTACAAGCCTGCTGCTTGTTGCTTCTCTCCTTTGGCTCTAAAGAGCTGATCCAGGGGTGCCTAGGTGGCTCAGTTAGTTAAGCGTCCGACTTCGGCTCAGGTCATGATCTCACGGTTTGTGGGTTCGAGCCCCGCATCGGGCTCTGTGCTGACAGCTAGCTTGGAGCCTGTCTTTGGGTTCTGTGTCTCTCTATCTGACCCTCCCCTGCTCACTCTGTCTCTCTGTCTCTCTCTCTCTCAGAAATAAATAAAAACATTAAAAAAAAAAAGAAATACTAAAGTATAGCAACCACCATGCTTTGGCCATTTGCTCTGTGCTTTGCTCTTTAAAAAAAATTTTTTTTAAACATTTTTACTTATTGTTGAGAGACAGAGCATGAGCATGGGAGGAGTGGAGACAGGGGAACCACAGAATGTGAAGCAGGCTCCAGGCTCTGGGCCGTCAGTACAGAGCCCAATGCAGGGCTCGAGCTCACAAACCATGAGACCATGACCTGAGCTGAAGTCAGACACTTAACCACCCAGGTGCCCCAGTCTGCTTTTTTTAGGAATCATTTCACATAATTCTCGAAGCAGCACTCTGAAGGCAAAGCTATGATTTTGTCCATTTTTCAGAAGAGGAAAACCCAAGCTGGGCAGAGAAGTGAGGTCATTTAGTCAAGGTCACCTGGAGCATAAGAGCAAGAACAGGAGACAGGAGAGGACACCAGGGACTCAGGTGGGCACACCTGACCTCTTGGTCCCGTGTCCTCATAGTCACAGGATTTACGACCGTCCTCATCACAGAGTTTCCCGACCTTGTCACAGTCTTACAATCCCACAGGCTTCTCCCAGGTTCTCTCTGAAGGAGTGTGCTCACCCACGGCTCTCCTTGGTTGCATTGGTCAGGCCTGGATTTCCACATTGTGCTGACCTGGGTAGCCCCAGGAATCTGACTGGGGGAACCCCCTCCTCAAGGACAAGGGTGGGCTATTTATACTTAAGGATGTGGGCTGAATTAGTGACAGCGTTGCGTCAGGTTCGAGAGGTACACATGGCTCAGGATGCTGGCGTGTTGGTGCTTGTGAGATTTGGGAGCATTGAGCCCCCTCTCAATCTTGTCTGCAGTGTCCTTTTCGGAGAGAGCATGGGGCTTCTATCCATCTTCTTTGCCACTCTGCAAATCTGATCAAGACTCTACTGCTTCAAGGACCCATTTTTAGGATAAAGTTTAGCAAAGCACTTGTCCACCATCTCCCTGTTACTCTCACGTTCCACTTTCAGGTCATCAGAACAATACCTTATTCCGACAGCGTCCAAATATATGGTCAGAATTCATTCATTTGTTCAATTGTGCCAGTCACTAAACGAGGCACTGTGAATACAGTGGTCAATCAGGCAAGAACCCTCTGTTCCAAGCTCCCTGCAATCAGCATGACCTCTTGCTAATAACAGCTGCTCTCGTGGAAGATTAACTATGTCTATAAGTTAATGACAAATCAGTGGCAAAAACAGAATAAAGAGGAAAGAAAAACAAGTGAGGGAATGTTATTTTCCAAATTTCAGGCTGTTCGTGGAAGTTATTCGAAGCGCTACCGAGTCAGAATTTGAGCTCCGCGCCACCAGGGGGCGCGGCGGGGCCGCTTGCGCGGGATCCGCCTCCCGGAGACGCCGCTCTAGGACGCAGCCCGCGCTCCAGCCGCATTTCCGCCGGCGCTGGGCGGATGAGGAGGTTCCTGCTTCTCTGCTCACCCGCCTGGACTTTCCGAGCCGTGCACGCCGCTGGTGTCTGTCTCCCGCAATCCCCAGACATCCGCAGCTTACCGCACTGTTAGCTCTGTCTTCGGCCGCTGTCCCGCGCCATAGGTTGCGGCTGCCCGGGGTGAGTCCACTGCGGGGATCGCTGGGCGCGTGGTCTGCCCCACCCCCACCTTTAGGGGAAACTGAGGCTCGAGGGGTCTGGGAGAGCCGGCGGAGGTCAGTCCGGGTTCCAGGCCCCGCTCATAGGTCCGGGCCCAGCTCCTCCGCCGGATGCGGACCTCTGAGGATTCGTGTCCTTGAGAAAGGGGCCTCGGGTCGGGTCGCTAGCCCTCAGATCTCCCTCCCCCCGCCGCGGGGAAGACTCGTGTCCGGCCAAACTCCGGAAGGGGGTCCGGCGACTGGCGGGCCGAGTGCGGCAGCGAGTGGTGCTGGGCCGCGTGTGGCCCCGGGGCTGAAGGGCGCCTGGGCCCCTGTGATTTTCACGCACGCACCCACCTCCGGCCCCCGGCCTCAAATCCCCAAAGCCCAGGAAGTGACCTTGTAAGCATTGACCCGTTTCTTCTCAGCAGCCTTTAGAGGAAACTTATAACCCCCAGTTGTGCTGGGCGGTTGTCTGAGCTTTCAATCGGGGGCGCTCGCGGGGCCCCAGAGCGGCGGAGGCGGATCCCCGTGTCCTTGCTTTGCACTAAAGCCCCGTCCCCCGTGCTGTCCTCTGCCTAGGCGTTGCGGGCTCTGGGGCTTTCTTGGAAGCAGATGGGGACTCTCCGTTGGACGGCTTTGGGGACTGTGCGTCAGGCAGCACGCCCGTTCTTGCAGGACCCTGATCGCGATGCCCCCGCTGTGCCCAGGGGCCTGGGTAAGTGTTGCTACTCAAGAGCGCGTCAGCAGGGGGCTCGTCGCCTTCCCGCCACACCACGTGGGGCGCGGGGTGGTCCGGAACTCATGCCGGAGTGAGAAAGCCCTTGTGCAGAAGGAGGCCTGGTGTGGAAGGGGGTGGGTTTGGGGGCCGGAGCGGTCTGGTTCCTGTCCTACCTCAGCCGGTGGCCACCGCATCACCCTGGCTGAGTGACGTCACAGCTTCACTGTGTTGCAAGCGGGGAAAGTGCCAGAGCTCTGGAGGCACAGAAGTCTTGTCTGTGTTCTTTGGTTTGGAGCCCCCAGTTGCTGGCACATAGTAGGTACTCAATTTGTATTTGTGGGGAGAATAAACAATGTAGGCGTTTTTGCTGGGAGTCGGTCTTGGTGTGCACCGTCTGGACGGACGGGAGGTGGCATCTCTGTGAACTGGTGATGATGCCCCGGGCCCTGGACGTGGCTGGGCAGCTGGGGGCTAGTAGGGGCTTCTCTCTTCCTGGCTCCCTTTCTGCACCTGCATTCGAAAGTGATCACGGGCTGCCTGTGCCCTGGTCATTGATAGTGCAGGGAGAGGACTTGCAGAAAGCACTTCCCCGTGTTTGGAGGGCCCACCCCATCCCTTCCGAACCCTGGAGCTTTCCCACACTTCGTCCCCACCGCCTTTTTTTAGGTGCCTCCGTACCTGGCCCAGAGCAGTTTCTGTGAGGTCTTAAAAAGGGAGAATGAGAGTGGGTCACCTGTCAGCGCATGTCTGGTTGTGGAGCCACAGCTGTGGTCTGTGACTCTGGTCTCTGATTTCAGCAGCCCTGCGTCATTTTCCCCCCGTGCATGTGAGCTGATTCCAGGCTGCCTTTTTCCTGGGCATTTGTGATGCAGGCAGAGGAAAAGTCACAAGGCTGATTTTATGTTCAGAGGTTCCAAAGCGGGACATGAGGTGACTGAGCCCAAGGTAGAGAGAGGGAGGTGGGCCGTCAGTGCATTTACCTCCCGAGACCCAGATTCCCCCAGTGTTTTCCTGTTGGTGAGGATAGTGGATTCCTGGACATGGAAGCAGTGCCCAGTGTTTCTTGTCACCTGCAGGAGTGGCCCCTGACTGTTCCTCTGTGATTGTGAGAGGCGACCTCAGGAAGAAGGAGGATCGGGAGGCCCCAGTAAGTGGCGTCCTGCCTGGATCTCTCGAGCGCGCCCCATGGGCCGTGGGCTGCAGGTGTTCAGGTGGCGGGTGTGGGAGGGAGTGTGGGTGAAGCCTGCTTCCCGGTGCCCCCAGCTGTCTGTGTCCCCTCCAGGTCCCTCTTCTGTGCCTGGGAGCCTCTGATGAAGTCCGCTGTGCCATGGAGAGGAAAGCTGTGGTGTCGGGATGGACAGACAGCCACATGTTAGGGGAGGACCTAGACTGCTTCCCGGTGCCTAGCTGAGTGCTCTTCCGTGGTCCCCCACAGCCAGTCTCTCAACCATGAATCCTCAGGATTTCTGTGCGCTTAGTCTTCCCCTTGCTCCTGGCAGGAAGTGGGAATCGTCTGTGCAGGTGAGGGGACGCTTCTGCGATCTGAGGCTGTAAATCTGGCCGCGGCCTGTGTGCTGGGCTCCTCCTGGTGCAGGCCAGTCCCTGGTTGCTGCCCAAGGCATCCCGTCTCTCCCGCTCCCTGCCCTTCTCGGCTCTTGCATTCGAAAGTGATGGGGGGCTGCCCGTGCCATGGTCATTGATGGTGCAGGGAGAGGACTTGCTGAAAGCGTTTCCCCATGTTGGAAGGGCCCATCCTGTCTCTTCCAAACTCTGGGGCTGTCGTACGTGTCTTCCTGTCCACTAATTTGGATTGTTTTCTGGTACTTGGCGCTGTGCGGCTCGCTGAGTGCCCTTTTGCTGAGCAGGGCCCTGCCCCAGGGTGCTTCTGTTTGCGGGCCGGGGGTGGAGCCCCTCTTCCCCCCGGGCTCTCCCCGGGAAGCGTTCTCTGCCTTCCCGTTCCACCCCTTCCCACAGCCTCACCCCGTTGCTCAGCCCTGGTCACGCCGGGCAGCGGTGATTGCCTGACCTCCATCCCCCCGTGCCGCGCTCTCCAGGGCAGCGCCTCGGCCGTGGTGTCTGACACGTAGCACTTAGACAAAACGACAAGGTGGAGAGGCCGAGATGCCACGTGGTGAGTCCGTGAGCACCCCCATTGTGGACCGTCAGCGGGGAGACTGCCTGCTCAAGGCCGAGGCATTCTGCTCTCCTTGGAAGTGTTTCTGGTCCTCGCCGTGGGCAGGGCCTGTGGTCCATGGGGGTTGACATTCCCTCTGCCATTCGGTTAAGGGGCAGGGAAGGGTAGTGCCCCAGCTGGGCAGGACGCTGTAGTTGCGGATGTGTATGCAGGCGGCCTTTACACACTAGCTGGAGGACATGGGGCCCTCCCACCACCCCCTGCTGCTGCCAGTCAGCGGGGCTCGCTCCCCAGAACCTGGCCTCAACAGCCTTTCCACATAGATCATTTGGCAGTAAATTGGTCGCAGGCATGAAGAATAACCCTGGTGTTCTTCTGTCACACGTGATCCCCAGCCCTTCCAAGAGTTAAGTTGTTCTTGTTCCTGAGACAGCGGCGGGGCTGTTCAGGTACGAGGAGCGATAGCCCCCATTTGTGGGTGCTGGAATCTGCGGGCCGCTGTGCCGGGTGCCCGCCACGCCCCCCATGGCCTGCTGGGAACGCTCATTCACAGCTCCTCTCTTGCAGGCAGGTGTGTGTGCGCAGAGGCTCCATGAGAGGTGTCGTCTCAGCAGCCAGGCGAGCGGCCACGGGGCCCCAAGGTAAGGCTTGGAGTGTTCTGGAACTTTGTTTCTGTAAAATCACATATGTGTGGGGCGCCTGGGTGGCTTAGTTGGTTAAGCGTCCGACTTTCGCTTAGGTCATGATCTCGCGGTAGTGGGTTCGAGCCCCGCGTCGGGCTCTGTGCTGACTGCCAGCTCAGAGCCTGGAGCTTATTTCGGAGTCTGTGTCTCCCTCTCTCTCTGACCCTCCCCTCTTCACCCTATCTCTCTCTCTCTCTCTCTCCTAGAAATAAAAAAAAAAAAAAATCACATATGTGTGCCCTGGGGTCTGGATGAGGAAGCGAGATGAGGGCAGGTGTCCCCTGACTTCCCAGTTGTGTCCCGGCTGGGGGGCAGTCCCTCACAGGCTGAGAGGGGACAGGCCTCTAGAAAGCAGCCCTGGGGAGGGGCTCTCCAGCACCCCTCCCTCCCTGGTCTCGGCACCGGGCTCAGGGGAAAGCGCGTGGATTAGGCGCCGGAGACCCTGGCCCAGTCCCTGAGGCTGTCTAGCTTTGTGACCCGTTCTTGGTCTCCCTTCACGTGGACAGCACAGCTCGGATAGGCTCATAGAACCCTCCGTTGGTGTCATGACTGTGGGATCCCGATCTTTTCCAACCCAAAAGCATTTCCAGTTTTTTCTGCTGGAAGGGTCTTGGTGTTGAAAGCGTCTGGGGCAGGGAGGTGTCGTGGGGCCTCTATGCCTGCCAGGGCCCGTCTCCCCCCTCCAGCCCATTCTCCAGGCGCCCAGCGCAGCCTCCCGTCCTTCCTGGCCCTCTTACTGCCTGTCTCTGCTCCTGTGTCCGAAAGTGACCGCAGGCTGCCCGCACCCTGGTCATTGGTGGGAGAGGACTCACTGAGGGGAGTTCTGCGTTCCGAGGGTCCAGCCCTCCCGTCCAAACCCTGTCCCACACTAGCTTCCCCCGCCCTTCCGCCCAGAGCTCGGACCTTTGCTGGCCCCCACGCGAGGTGGTACTGGGCCAGCTCCCGACCCACCGGGGCTCCTCCTGTCTTTCCATGTTACGGATCTTCTTGTCAAACCAGCCTGTACCTTCGTACTTGGACCTCATGCTGGAATATTCCTATAGCGCCCGCGGGCACATGTAAGAATTGCGAGTCATGGCTTCTTCGGCATGAATCGCCAGGAGCGGAGGCCTATCCATAAGAGTGCTTGAGTCGCGGCCGTGTGTGGCCTCAGCGCTCGTGTGCCTGTCGTCCTTGCGCCCTCACTCTCGAGCACAGCGTGCATTGCTTCCCCGGGAGCTGTCCTTGCTTCCCCGGGAGCTGTCCGGAACGTTAAACGGTGAGAGAAAAGTGAAGGTGGGGGCCGCTGTAGGGGCGAGGAGGCGTTGTGTCAGTTCTGAGTCCATAAAAATCAGGCTCGTCGTCACCGACTGCCAGAAGCCGAGGGGGTTTCCTGTCAGTCTCCGACGGGAGGAGAGCGTGTTGACTGATCGCCCTGGCTGTAGGTCTCCCTTCACTGACTTGAGCTGTGCTTTGTGGGTTTTTTTGGAAAGGGTGACCCCGGGGGTTGACTGAGGAAGTTCTCAGCCCCGTGGATCTCTGGAAACTATCCATAGACTCCAGGTTTCCTGGCTGCCTCCCTGATGGCGTCAGTGAGGGGGTGTGTTGCAGGCGGGGCGCCCTGCAGTCCTCCAGCAGCTGCTCGCGTGTTCAGGGAGGTGGCGACCCTGGCACAGTGCCTTCACCTCGTACACTCAGATGCAACATGGCGCCTCTAAGAGGCACGCCTTGGCTCCCGGGTAACAGGTGAGGTGAGGTTGGAGGTCAAGGTCTCCATCCCAGACTTTTGGCCTGGGGGCTCGTCTCTAGTTGCTGAGTCCTCGTCTGTCTGCGTTCAGGTCTTGTGTTTGCAGGTGGGGTCCTGTTGGGCCGGAGGTTTTTGTTCCCGTCATGGTGTAGAGGTAGTGAGAATAGTCCATGTGAACTACCCGGTGCTCAGGAGTCGTCTGATAACCCTGAGGTTCCCCTCGTCTTTCAGACTTCTCTGCCCCTTTGGCATCAGGGGCTTGTCCTGTCCCACAGCCTAGTTCCCAGTCTCAGGCTCCTCAGCCAGGCTGGAGGAGTCCAGGGACAATGGCCACCATTCTGAAGACAGTTTACCACCCCTCCCCCCAACTCCAGACCTGGGCATTCAGAACCCTGGGTGGAGAGTCCTGCAGGTGAAGTTGGGATTCGCTTGTGTAATGCTCTCAAGCATTCGTGAAGCTGTCTCATCCATCCCTCAAACGGGCCTGGCAAGGTTGACCTTCAGAGGGCTGGCACCTAACCAGACCAACTCTTGTTGGAAGTTTATCTGGCATTTGCCTTACTGGCTGGGCCGTATTAAGCGGGTCTATGCAGAAGAGGATGGCAGCTGCTTGGGCCTTGGGACAGGCTGGGCAGAGTCGTGCCGGTGTGTGGGAGGGCTGCTGACGACGAAGGTCCAGCCCTGTGATCAGGCTGCAGGGGCCCTCAGGGTCAAGGCCCCAACACCGAGTGCCGGGCTGTCTTCCTGACCCTCTCTGGAGTCAGTTGCCCTGATGTCAATTAGAAAGTGATACATTATAAAAGCTGGATCCCTAAGAAGTTTTTCTTTTATTACCCTTTCTGTTTTGGTAACGGTCTAGTTGGGCATGCATACACTGGGAGCTGAGGCCTGGTTGACGTGGACCTTCTCAGTGGTGTTGCTCGGGGAGGTAGCGGTGCTGGAGATGAAATGCTTATATGCTGCTTCTCCCTCAGGTCAGCCTTAGGCCCGGAGGCTGTTGAAGGAAGTCCCAAGGCTGCGAGTTGTTGACTGTCGGGATGACTTGGGATCTGGGTTTGCTGACATTTTCCCCCCAAGGTGAGTTAGTGCCAAGTGCTGGAGACCCACAGGTGGGTGGTAGCTGGTTTGCATCGTGTGGATGGGAACTCCAGCCCGTCATCGAGTCTCACTCGTTCGTTCTTCTAGGTTCTCCTGGTGGCGTTAGCGGTCTCCAGAGGGGCACAGTGTGGAGGGATCCCCGTCGAAGCATCCCCAGAGGACCCCCTACTATACCCTCCGAGTGCCGTGATCAGCTCTTCCCTCCGCACAGGACCTCAGAGGGAAGGTGCTGGGGCCGCGGCCGGGTCCGCTCCGCCTGGCCTGTCTTGCCAGCCGTGCCCTGCGAAGCCGTAGACCGGGAACGTCAGCCCCATGTCCCTCCGCTGTGCCGGGAATGACTGTAATGACCCATATTTTTCTCCTGAACTACAGCTGCTCCTGTCTTTCCCCCTCTGCCTGCCTGTTCAGTAAACTCACAGACTCGCCGTGTCTGCCTTTTGAGTCAGTTAATAAGCCGTGTGCTGCCGAGGCTGGGCGTTTAGTGGATTGAAGTCCGGTCATGTTTTCACCCCGTGAGCCTCTTCCTGTCAGGCTCCTGAGGCCTGGTACCCAGGCTGCCGCCTGAGGCGTCCAGTGAGGACTGGGAGGTGACCGGGTGCCGGTAGAGTTGGCTCAGATTCAGGGCCCGTGAAAAAGTCAAGGGTGTTGAAGAACAGTCAGGCCAGGGCTTTGGGAGGGTGGCGGGTGACGGGGGTCTGCCGTGAGGCCGGCAGTGATGTCACTGGGGAGGGCGGGGTGGCCTGAGTGAGTTCAGGGCCTGCCTGCCCGTGAGGCCAGCCGTCCTAGCTTGGCTGGGGTTCAGGGGCTTCCCAGGACGTGGGACTTTCATTGTTAAATCCAGGCAGGTCCCGGACAAATTGGGACGAGCTGGTCAGCTACCTGGGGTGTAGAATGCATGCTGCCAGCGTAAGAGGACAGGTTACGGAGTGAAGGTGGGAGCGGGCTGAGCATGGAGCAGCGACGTCGGTGGACCTGGGATTGCGGAGGCGGGGAGGGCGGGCCACAAGGTTAGGCGTTTGGAATTAATTTGGTAAGTCCGTAATTGCAGTAACGTGATGACGTGCTAAGGACAGGCAAGCATGAAATTTTTTTTAGATTTTTTAAATTAATTTATTTTTAAAATTTATTTCTAAGAGAGACAGTGTGAGCAGGGGAGGGTCAGAGAGAGAGGGAGACAGAATCCAGAGCAGGCTCCAGGCTCTGAGCTGGCTGTCAGCACAGAACCCGACGTGGGGCTCAAACCTACAAACCGTGAGATCATGACCTGAGCTGAAGTCGGACGCTTAACCAACTGAGCCACGCAGGCGCCCTGCAAGCGTGAACTTAATTCCCATTTTATAGATGGAAGGGTCTCCATGAGGAAATCGGCCCCAAAGGCTCTGATGAAAGCCAGAATTGTCCCATTTCTGCATTTGAAATTGGACTTGGCCTTGATGAGATTGATATGTTGATGGGCTCCTGTGGGGGGCGGGCGTTCTTCATGGCTCAGGCGTTCGCGCTGCTGGCCAGCTCCCGCAGCGGCGTCCAGGAGTCAGAAGTCTTGTGCCTTCTCCATGGACTGTCCTCTGACTTCTTCCGCCATCTTTCGCCAGCTGGTCGTTGTTGCCTGAAAAGATGGCAAGAGAAGGGTGTGGGTCCGGTTGGGAAGACGGCGACTGGTTGGTGACGTTGGCTGCTGTGGAGACCCAGGTGCAGAACGCGGGTCCTCACCTAACAAGCGTGCCTGCAGACTCTGGGTGCCAGGTCCTGCCTGCCTTGTGCGCTTGGGGCGCGTAAAGTGGGAGCCTGGAAGTGCTGACAAGAGCATAACCACCGAGGTGACCCAGGATCCAGGCTCAAGGTCAGGGAGGCACGGTTCTTGCTGGGAGATGTGTTCCTAGAAGAAGGCCTGGTGGAGCAGGTGATGAGGGAGATTTCCAGAGCACGGTCAAGAGCTGCGAGTATGAGAGCTGCTTGGAGTGAAGGTTCATCCATTTAAAAAAAAAATTTTATGAGCCAGACCCCATGCTAGAAGTGGGGTTACAGTGGGGAATACGTTTGGGCTCAAGCTATCCCTGAAAGGTCTTTAAATAGTGCGTTGTGTATATGCTGAGTGGCTGTGGAACGTGCACTTGCACTTGTGTTGGGTGCTGCGTAGGCGTTGGGATCCTGCCCCGAGCACAGCGCACAGGAGGCCTCATGGAGCTTACAGAGCTGCGGTCCATTGGTGTGAGCCACTAGCCACGTGTGGTTTTTTAAATCGATTTAAACGAAAATGTAGTTTACATCTTCACTTGCACCAGCCGTATTTCAGGTGTTTGGTATCCTCAAGTGTCTGCAGTGTCGGGCCACACAGACAAACAGACTCTTCCTGTCCCTGCAAGAAGTGTGATTTTTAGAAGAAAACTCACAGGCCCAAAATGGCATCACTTAGGCCAGGTCCTCAAACCCAAGCTTAGTACCTGATCTAACCGCAGTTTCAGTTCACCGCAGAAGTCCAGTCTTAACTGGTCAGAGATTTTTTGATGGGTGCCTGTACGTCTACCGCCTGGGCCCTCCCCTTCCCCACAGGAAGATGAAATGATCTGCATGATTGGACTCCCCTCCTGTTCCCCCTAAGGGAAAGCAACCTTGGCCCGGAACAGTTTATTTTCTTTTGCAGACAACTGCCCCACCTCTCTTCTCTGCATGCTGGATAGGATGCTGCCCTGTTAATTGTCTAATAAAGTGGACTAGATCTTCAAATTTACCTGGTTGAATTTTGTTTAACATCAGACAGCACTGGTCTGGAAGGTGAGGCGTTCAGGGCTGATTACATGAGTGAAGAGTGTTGCCGGACACCTTTACAGAGAGGCTGTTACTTGAGTCCATGGTGGTGCGGCCTCCCTGCTGTTTAGGGTAGTTCTGAGTGTGGGTAGACAGAGTGGGGGCAGCCGCCTGCAGGAGTGGGAGGTCACTGGCTTTGGAGTCCCACAGACCAGGGTCTAACCCCCACCCCCTGGTGGCATAAGGCATTTCCACTACCTGACCTTGGTTTCCCCTTGTAAGATGAGACCCACACCTTTACCAAGAGTAAGGTAAGGTAGGGATTAAATAGACTGATGGATGGAAAAGCCTGTGTAGTGTGTCCTTTCAGGAAGTATGTAGTAACTGATAGCTATTACTGTTACTTATTTATTGATGGTTTCTCTGCACCATACCAAATTTGATCATATTTCTTTATGGCCTTGGGGGCTTTCATGGTGTAGCCCCTAATGCTGAAAAAAAATTTTTTTTAAATATAGTTTATTGTCAAATTGGCTAACATATAGTGTGTACAGTGTGCTCTTGGTTTTGGGGGCAGATTCCCGTGGTTTGTCGCTTGCATACAACACTCCGTGCTCTTCCCAGCAGGTGCTTCCTCACTGCCCGTGGCCTGTTTCTTCCTCTCCCCCACCCTCCCCTCATCCACCCTCAGTTTGTTCTCTGTATTTAAGAGTCTCTTATGGTTTGCTTCCCTCCCTCTCTGTTTGTACCTATTTTTTCCCTTTCCCTTCCCCCATGGTCCTTAGTTAAGTTTCTCAAGTTCCACATGAATGAAAATATTTGATACCTGTCTTTCTCTGACTGACTTATTTCACTTCTAATGCTGAAATTTGTGGGAAATCAAAAATAGTTCCTTTCCTTTTACAACATAAGATTTGCGTCATATAATAATTAATGGATACTTAAAAACCTTTATCTCTACATTAGAGTATATATCCTTTTCTCAAGCATATAAGGAGCCTTTATAAATACTGTTCATGTTCTGGGGTATAAAGCAAGTGGCCAGTACCAAAGAATCGAGTCCCACAGGCTACATTTGCACTGCAGTAGAAAGACAATAACAAAAATGGGTTTGAAAAAATCGCTATGTTTGGGAAATTTAAAAACATGTTTAAAATACCTCATCCAAGATAATACCATAAGGGGCATTAGAAATAGTAACAACCGAATAGTGATAAAAATTTACATACAAAAGTTTGTGAAATGTAGCTCAAGTAGTTCCTAAGGGGAAATTTACGCCTCACATGCTTGAAATAGAAGTCTGAAATTTAATATGTAATAAAAAAAAATAGAAGTAATGTGAATAAAAATTACAGCACAAAGTAAAGCCACATGTAGGGACTAATACAGTTTACTTTTTGTCTATAAAAATTTCTGGTTTGATGAAATGAACACACTTCTAGAAAACATCAAACATGGGGCGCCTGGGTGGCTCAGTCATTTGAGCGTCTGACTTCAGCTTGGGTCATGATCTCACGGTTCGTGGGTTCGAGCCCTGCGTCGGGCTCTGTGCTGACTGCCAGCTCAGAGCCTGGAGCTTGTTTCAGATTCTGTGTCTCCCTCTCTCACCCTCCCCTGCTCATGTTGTCTCTCTCTCTTTCTCAGAAATAAATAAAACATTAAAAAAAATTTTTTTTAAAAAAAAAAACATCAAACAACATAGCCACGAGGAGAAGTGGAAAACTTGAATAGTCTGATCAAGACCACAGGGAACAGCTCCACAAAGATTTATTCGCCTGTTGCAACATGCACTTTTCTCGGTCGCTATCAAAGCTATGATTTTCTGAAAAGAAATCTTGGGATCTGTCCTTGAATGAACATGTAATGGCTCAAACACACACCTCCTTGTTGGAGACAGTTGACACAGTCCATTTGTACAGGTCTGTGAGGCTTTGGACTCAGACTACACAGCTTTGTCTGAATTCGGTTTAAGACAGGTCCACACACAAGAAACATCATTTGTCAGGCTTTTAAAGTGTTCCCAGCAGTGTTGAAGACCACAGCCATTTGCCTCTGCTGGTGTAAGACTCGACAGTTGAAATGAATAGAGGCCGTCAGAGTGGAAGAGAGTGAAAGCCTCTTTTGAGGAATAGCAACTTCTGAGGACGTAGTGAAGGATTGCCTTGGATTGAGAACATGCACACTGTGAAGACATCAACAGACTAGTCGCTCTAGGCTTGTATCCTAATGTGTACTGTGACTGTCACTGATAGACAGGGATGCTGAGACTTCCAGATCACTGTAGACAGTTCTTGAACCAGTCTTTTTGCTTGGCAGGAGCATGTTTCTTTTAATCTGAAAAGTACAAAAGTATTCAAATGTTTTTATATTAATACGGTCTGTACATAATTAGGAAGATGGAAATTCTTTTGTTGGTTTTGTTTTTTTTTTTTTTTTAAATCCCAAGTTTGGGACACAACGAGCTCTCACAAGTTTTGAGTTGATTAAAACTTAGAGAATGGTTAAGATCTAATTCTTTCTTGCGGTGCCTGGGTGGCTCAGTTAAGTGTCCCAGCCTGGCTCAGGTCATGATCTCGAGTTTGAGCCCCGGGCTGGGCTCTGTGCTGACAGCTCAGAGCCCGGAGCGTGCTTCGGATTCTGTGTCTTTCTCCCTTCTGCCCCTCCCCTGCTGTGTCTCTCT